GTATTTTAAAACTAACAAAATATATATGTATCGGAAAGAAAAGAGCAAACAGTTATTAGTGATAATTTCACGACTGATCAGCTTCGCTATTTGCAAACGACTTTGACTCTATTCTCATCGTCCATCTCTGTATTGTTTTTTTCACGAAATTACTCGGTCATGCTTGGACGCTTTAACGGGTCTCGTGTTATTTCTGTTATTCTTATGGTTTTATACCAAGTAGCTTACTATTTCTATATTTTATAGTGTATTAGAGATGCAAAAGACATGAGAATAAGCAATCGATCTTACTACTATATCGTTGATGACAATGACAGAGATGGATTCGAAGTTGTTTATCTCGTTCGTTAATAGACCTTGAGTTTTTTTATAACTGTTTCATACTTATGCTTTGTTTTTGCTTGACAGAATTACGTAATTCGGTTTTTCGTCTATTTTTAAGTTCTATTTTTTTTTAAATTTTTCAAAAATTGCTGTCGTTTTATGAATGTTGATGTTTGCGGATTGAACATATAATGAGTAGTTCAATTAGCTTTTTGCTAAAGAAATTCATGTCAGCGTGAATCATACTTTCTGGGACGGCCTCGTAGTGATAAGATTGTGACGCCCCTCTGATTGCTTTTACCTAAGTTTAAAACTACAAACGTGCGCGACGTGAACTTCAATTGCGAAACATCGACGGATTTCTCACTGCCATGTGCTGTGCGCGAACATCTCGAATCACTTATCTGATCAAATCTGACATAAAAGCGATAAAGAAAATGTGCATTGGAAGCAGAATAATTTATTGGTCGGACAAGCACTGACTTTTGCTACGCTGATATTTAGTAAAATCTGACACTTGTGATTCTATATTTTAGAAATGTATTATTTTTTTTATATTCAATTATTTATTAATACTAATAAACTGGTAAAAGTGTGATTATTTGTGTTCTGATCGTGAGTCTATACACAAATTTAATTTAATAGCGAGATTTCTCGGTAGTATTGTGGTTTCGTTGCTTATCATGTTACGTAGTATGGGAAGTGTCTTTTATAAACTACGTCGTATGTTTTTTTTTCTCATTTTTTGTCACATTGTTTCCTTATTCCGCGACGATATTGTTTTCTCATACTTTCCACTTTATTGCAACGACTTTTAGTAAACATAATATAAACAAAGCGATGCCTTCAGCTTAAATTTAATTACACCAACAGATTATTCATAACATTAAAAAGTTTTAATTAAAGTTTTAATTAACATTATATGCAAAATGTTACTTTAAAGTTGTTGTAACATTCCGATATTGAAAAAAGGCATGTAAAAATATTCTCGAGATAACGACAGCGATAAAAAAGCCTCACATGCGTGTGAGGCTCTCGAGCAAGTTTAACGGAAGCCTTAGGTCGGTGGTGAAGCTTGGCTCGACAACACGAGGGAAGGCTCCGTTGCTCGGTCAAAGGCGTCGGAACTGCTCAATGCATTTGCGTGACTTGCATTGAGTTTTGAAGAAAATACATTGCCAACATTTGATAGTCTTAGTGAAAATTGGAGCACTATCGATTGATGAAATTGCGAGCTGCGACAAAAGCGCGCGCTGCGATGAAAGCACGTTCTTTATCTATCTGCATATGTTTTATTTCTCTTTCTTGAGGAGGAAATAATTTATAATAAAATGTGAAGAAAAAAGTAACTGTATTCTTGAAATAAGAATTTTTTCTTTAATTGTAAATATTTTTTATATTGTCTTGAGAGAAAACATAAATCATTTCTCTATTCACGCTCTTATTTTCTTATATTTTAAATTCATTTTTAATCATTCATCATTATTGTGTTAGTCTAATCGTATATGGAACGTATATATTGACACAGCTGGCACATTGCGGTAGAAGGATAACGCAGTAAGTCAGTAGGCTCGCTTACGTTGCATCGCGAATTACGTAATTGTGTGCAAAATGCGCCGTAACTTTCTAAGGTGCGAACCCACGGATCACTTTTGTCTTCTGGACGTCTCTTCAATTGGGGGACCATGTGGGAACCCGGTAGAGAACCTCAGGTGTTTTGCTCCCCTTTCCGTGAGTCCACAATAGCAATTCCCGTTGTTGTTGCTGTTGCTGCTGCGTGCCGCGGATGTATAACATAGAAAGCATGGGAACAATTTCCTCGGTATGTCGCAACGAAACCAGAGAGCTAACCAACACGTACATTAATCGTTATAAAACCTTGAGCAATACGGAGATTCGCATAATCCGGACAAATGTGTTTTCTCGGATAGAGTCGCGAGGAAAAAGTAATTACAAAATGAGAACGAGATAAAAATAATTAACTTTCCATCTACCTGATCTAGCTAAAAATGTTTGTAGCTATACAAGAATTTATATTAGTAATAACACTGTTACATTCGCTGAAACCTGTATGTGAAGTCTTAGACTGTTCAAAAATACCTTGTGACTGATTGTTTATACTTTTATCTCTCTATTGCTTCTTCTCTTCGTGAACTCTTTCTGAAGTTCTGCTTTAGTGAAAGTTTCTTATGCAATTAGCTAATATACTATAATCAGCTTCTTAGAGAAGAAAAATCTTTGCACCATCGAAAGATTTATATTCATAACACTTTGATCGCCTAAATTATAATATAAATTTTGAAATGTATTTTTCTGTGTTTTTTTCATGTGTTTATTATATTTTATCATTTTACAATCAATATACTCTAAAAATCTTTTATGATCCAATTGAATGAAAGAAAAATCATATTCATATAAAAGAAATATTATTATCTCTTTAGATTATTATCTCATTAGATTATTATCTCTTTATATTACAAAGATTACTTATTGATTCCGTAATCAAGCGAAATGATTCACGCAAGCTCTATCATTTTATGATATAAATTGTTCTTAAAAAATCTCCGTTTTAGGAATAACATTGATACTGCATCGTCATTGATATTCCAATTTCGATAGCATAAGCATAAATATGTAATATGCTGCGATGTTTATCAACGTGACATGTTACACATTTTACAAGAATGCTTCGCATAAATACGAATATCTATATGCAACGTCGTACGTTTTATGAGTCAGGAAAGAAGAAACGTGTTAATGAAGACGAACTAAGCGATAAGAGGTTTAATTATACTCGCGCGAATTCGTGACAGTTGTGCTTTACCTGACCACATTTTTCTTTCTTTTCCGCCTGGTGAAACGGTATCTTGCGTAATTAATATCGCACACATTCACGGCTTACACTATGGGAGTGAAGTTCAGGGTCGCATATTTGCCGCCTTTCTAAATGCAGTTAATTGGCGTGCATGAAACGTTGATGAAATTATTATATGCGAAATGCATATTTTTAACGAGAAGGGAAAAAAATTGTCGCTCCTCTTGCGCAAAGATTTTCGCACGGTGTCGAAGCGATGTGATCGACACGACCGATTACCACCTTAATTAATAACAGCAATTAAAAGAGGGTAAAGCTCGTTATTATTGAAAATGCAACGTGGTGTGAATTCATGCATCCTGTCTGTCATTTTGCATGTTATTTTAGATGATCAGTATAAATTGCGATTGCGCATTGAAATTGCTTTAAACTGTGAAATTTAATTCCAAATTGCAATTTTTTATTGTAACAATCTCTGTGGCTTAAAGTTATCTGTGAATCTTAATTTTTTTTTTAATATAAAACGATTATTAACGTAACATACTAGACACTTGTGTAAAACATTTAATTACATTATGTTGACAACACTTTTTATGTAGAAATTGGATAATAGCAACAAGTGATTTTTATCTCGAGATAATTGTAAAAAAAAAAGAGCAGTCGATGTACGCGATAAATTATTGTGACTGCAAAGTTCAACGATTATGATTACGGGTCGTCGAAGTTATTCGTGGAATAATTCGGAATGTAGGACAGCGAAAGAGAAGTCGCGACTTTGCCAGAAAAACCATTTTACCGTTGCTTGACATTCTCTAAAATAGCACATTTGTAGTACAATCAAGTGATCCGGGCAATGCGTGAAATATGGTATTGTAGGGATCCTCGAAATGAATATGTAAGTTGGGTTTGGCGGAAACACCGTTATTCGGTTACGAAAGTCGCTCACGCTCATTCACAGAGAATATCAATCACGCGGAACTGTTTTCAATATTTATCTAAAAAAACCCAGAAGTCTACATGACATTATAAAATTACAATATTTTAATTTCTAAATTTTTTTACCGTTCTTATATTTGATTTAAATTTTAATTAATATAGAAAGAATATTAATATTTTGTTGCATTATATTCTAATATAATATAAATAATACCGATGATTTAATATAAATAAGTAAATAAAAAAATGGATTCGAACTTTGCGGCGGAGTCTCTTCGTGATGCAGGATGATTGTGTCTTGCACAGTTTATTATGTGGCCAACTTTGCGAAGAAATGGAAGGAATTATTGACTGGCTATTCTCTGATTAGAGAACACGTGCGCAATTAATGATAGACATTATATTAAATGCTAATGTTGAATCACTGTGAACACGGTGATTTCTACGGTGAAACGGTGCGTCTGCTACCGTACGTAAATGGTTATACGATAACATTGAAATAACGGCGAATTGGAGCATTCGACCAAATCGATACATTCTTATTGGCGACCTCGCGCACCGTTTGTGCACTCCAAAAGAAAAACTGGATCGTCTTTGCAATGCTTGAAAAGTAACTCGATTAATTTTTCATCAGCGCGTAGTATAAATAAATGCAATCAACCTCTGATCTTGTCTTCAGTGAACATTTGCAATGGAAATTTTATTCTGATTTTCGATGAAGTTTTTCGAAACAAATCCGTGCATTCTTTTAGTAAAAAGTATACTTTCAGCATCAATATTTTTTTCATGCGTATCGACTTTTTAAATAATTTTATAAACTCAGCGCAATTTTACATTAGTGAACGGGGATGCGCTCTAATTTTAGATCAACACAATAAAACCGATGGAACTTTGTTAACGCAAAAAATATGCCGATCGATTGTAGGGCGGCCGAGTATGGGTGCCGCATCCGGAGAAGGTGTGGGAGGGCGCCGTGCTCCTGGAGAACTACAAACAGAATCAGCCGACGTTGAGGGTGCACACGGAGGAGTCCAACCAGACGAGGACATTGGAAATCAAATCAGACGTGGATCTCCCGCCGCTCCGTAATCCCGACATCCTGATAGGGGAGAACAATCTCACGTCGTTGTCGTTTCTTCACGAGCCGGCCGTGCTTTACAATCTCCAGATTCGCTTCCAACGGCATTCCATCTACACCTATTGTGGCATCGTTTTGGTAGCCTTCAATCCGTACAACGAACTACCTATCTACGGTAATGACACGATATGGGCCTACAGGGGTCAGGCGATGGGCGACCTGGAACCCCACATATTCGCCGTGGCCGAGGAAGCCTACACGAAATTGGAGAGGTGACTAATCTTTTGTTGATATTTATCTATGGCTTACGCAATCGATGTGACTTTATACTTAATTAAAAGGCAAATCAGACGGTCTTCTCGTTGGATTCGAAATAGCAGGCTAATAAGTAATCGCTGAATCGAACAAACGATACGAAATAATAAAGTGATTTTAATGTAATATTGTATTTATATAAAATTGCGTATTATTAAATGCATGCTTTATAACTTACGATTTTAATTTTAATAAACTGATTCTGCAATTTGGAATCAATTTTCTTAGCTCTTGAAGAAGCTTAACATTTATTGCAACTTTTCAATTTTTCACAAATATTTTTGTAACATTAAGTTTCAAATTAAAATTCTATTAAAGGAAAATCCACTTGAAACAATTAAAAATATAATTCCGTTGTTTATTTAATCTCAGCTTGTATAATTCACAAACAATTCATTTATTTCGCTTAGATAAAGAAAAAATGAAGATATGTTTTAATTGAATAAATTTAATTAGATTAGTTTAAATTTAATTATATTTATTTAAACAAAGTTTGATCTCTTTCAATTTAGGGAGAATCATGACCAGTCGATTATCGTCTCCGGCGAGTCGGGCGCCGGCAAAACAGTCTCCGCGAAGTACACCATGCGATATTTTGCGACCGTCGGCGGTTCAGCAACGGAAACGCAGATCGAGAAGAAGGTTCTCGCCTCTTCGCCTATCATGGAGGCGATCGGCAACGCAAAGACCACCAGGAATGACAACTCTTCCCGATTTGGAAAATTCATCGAGATCCAGTTCAATAAAAACTACCATATCACCGGCGCTAGTATGAGAACGTACCTTTTGGAGAAATCGCGGGTGGTCTTCCAGATGAACGAGGAGCGCAATTACCACATATTCTATCAGATGTGCTCGGCGGCGCGACGTCTTCCGCAGCTTCACCTCTCCGACCAGGACGAGTTTCACTACCTGAATCAAGGGAACAATCCGAGAATTGACGGCGTAGATGACCTCGAGTACTTCGAGGAAACAATCAGCGCACTGACGATGCTTGGCTTCACGAGCAGGCAGCAAGACGACATGCTACGCATACTGGCGGCTATATTGCATCTGGGTAACGTGGATATAAAAAGCTGCGTGATGAAGAATGCGCAGGATAACGAGGTGGACACCGAGTCGTGTTACATCTCATCGTCAGATCGCCATTTACTGATAATATCCGAATTGCTGGGCGTCGAGGTGAACGCGATGCGGAAGTGGCTATGTCATCGCAAGATCGTGTCGACGCGCGAGGTCTTCCTGAAGCCGATGAACGTGGAGCAGGCGATTGGCGCGCGAGACGCCCTGGCCAAACATATCTACGCCGAACTATTCAACTGGATCGTCACCGGCATCAATGGCTCCTTGCAAACGCTCGCCAAAGCGCAGTGCTTCATTGGCGTGCTGGACATCTACGGCTTCGAGACGTTCGAGCTGAACTCGTTCGAGCAGTTTTGCATCAATTATGCGAACGAGAAGCTACAGCAGCAGTTCAATCAGCATGTGTTCAAGCTGGAGCAGGAGGAGTACCTGAAAGAAGATATTGAGTGGACGTTTATCGATTTCTACGACAATCAGCCGTGCATCGATCTGATCGAGACGAAGCTCGGCATCTTGGATCTTCTCGACGAGGAGTGCCGGATGCCGAAGGGCTCGGATGCCTCCTGGGCGGAGAAGCTGTACGCCAAGTGCGGTAAGTCGAAGCACTTTGAGAAACCGCGGTTCGGCACCACGGCCTTCCTCATTCACCATTTCGCCGATCTCGTGCAGTACGAGACTATGGGCTTCCTAGAGAAGAATCGCGACACTGTGATGGAGGAACAAGTGGACGTGCTGCGGAGTAGCGGAAACAAGTTGCTGAGAAAGTTGTTCTGCGACGAAGACCCGAAGCTGGCGGTGCCACACACCAGGGTGAAGGTATCCATGCAAAAAAGCGTGCCCGCGAATGCGTCCAATAAGCAGAACAAGAAAACGGTCGGCTCACAGTTTCGCGACTCGCTCAACATGCTGATGGCGACGCTGAACGCCACGACGCCGCATTACGTACGTTGCATCAAGCCGAACGACGCGAAGGAGGCGTTCGACTACAGTCCGGTGCGGGCGGTGCAACAGCTGCGCGCCTGCGGCGTTCTGGAGACCATACGGATCTCCGCCGCAGGCTTCCCGAGTCAGCGTACGTACGGCGACTTCTTCCAGAGGTACCGTTGCCTGTGTAGATTCAAGGAAATACGGCGGGATGATCTGAAGGAGACTTGCCGGCGCATTCTGGCCCGGTACATCAAAGACGAAGACAAGTTCAAGTTTGGCAAGACTAAGGTGCTCTTCCGGGCCGGTCAAGTGGCGTATTTGGAAAAATTACGGGCGGAGAAGCAGCGAGACGCCTGTATAATGATCCAGAAAACTGTACGCGGTATGATCCATCACAATAGGTACAGGAAGATACGCAGATCGATACTCGGTCTTCAGCGATACGGCAGGGGTTACATCGCACGGCAGAAGGCCGAAGCTGTGAGGCGAGAGAGGGCTGCAGTAAAGATTCAGGCATGGATAAAGGGCTGGGTGCAGAGGCAATGGTACTTACAGGTAGGATCAAAGTTTAATGTATTATTGTTATTTTTTCAAATAATAATAAGAACTGTTGCAGATGTTACTTATGATATGTTTAATTCTACATTTTCACTTGCAGGTGAAGCGAGCGATCCTCGGCATACAGACATATGGTAGGGGTAACATGGCGCGCACTAGATACAGGATAATGAGAGACAACGCCGCGGCGATAACGATTCAGAGATTCGCTCGAGGATGTCTTGTGAGAATGGCGTGCAAGAAGAGGCTCAGAAACATAATCATCGTGCAATCATGCATCAGGAAGCGACAGGCGAAGAAGATCTTCAGGCAGCTGAAGGCTGAAGCGAGGAGCGTAGAGCATGTCAAGTCGCTCAACAAAGGATTAGAAATGAAGATCATTAGATTGCAGCAAAAGATGGACGAAATGGTACTTGATGTTTTATTTGGCTCAAGCTTAGGTCTATAACTTGAAACATGTTTTTTTTTATTTTTTTATTTTTTTTTTAAGAAACAAATGAAAAAAATACATCAATCAAAGTATTGGCCATCGTCAGATGTGACTTTTTCCCATCTTTCTGGCAATAAGCGAATCCCACGGCGAAAGAACGACTCATTTTTAGAGGCTATCCAGTCAGAGACCCATTTTTCGACGCTTTC